GTGACCTCTGGCCAGGCGGCTCCCGCTCGAGGGCGCCAGGGGCGCGGGCTCAGGGCACCATGTGCCACCACTTGAAGGAGAAGGGCTTCCGGCGCACGTTGGTGCCGCAGTGCACATCCCCAAGCCAGACATGGTAGGAGTGGAAGTCGTCGATGAAGGTGCAGTGCAGGCCCAGCGGCTCCAACAGGGACCGCACTGCCTCTTCCAGGCAGCAGCGTTTGTGCACGAGAGGCCCGTAGGGCTTGGGGATGCCCAGGTTTTTCCCCAGCACCAGCATGTTCACCTGCAGGAGAGCAAGGGCCCAGGTCAGAGGCGGCAGCCTGTGTCGCCATCCCAGTGTCCCCTCCTGCCTCTGACCTGCGGAAATAATGGCCCCACTTGATGGATGAGGAAACTGAATCAGTCTAGGACTGACGCCCAAGCCTCTCAGACTCCAGGGTCTGTGCTCGGAACACTCTCCTCCTCCTCCACCGGCCTCCTCCTGGTAAACTCTGTTACTCAAGGCCCCCCTCAAAGGCCAACCCCTCTGGGAAACTGCCCAAGAATTCCTCAACTCTGGCAGTCCCTCCTGCTCTATGCTCCAGTAGCCCCCAACACCAGGTCTGGCCCACAGAAGGCGCTTAATAAATGTCTGTTGAGTGGATGAATAAACGTCACCTCTGTTGTAGCACTTTCCATGTGTGATCATCATGTAAATGATAATTATGTGAATGATCAGGAGTTGGCCTCGGGAGGCAGAAAGATGAGGACTCTGGCTATTGACGAGGGCGGGTTGAACCCCAGCTCTGCTGCTCACTCGGTAGCTGTGTGACCTTGGGCAAGGTGCTTCACCTCTCTGAGTCTCCACCACAAAATGAGCCCAAACACATTGTCATGGCAACTAGATAAGCACACCGACTAGGTGCTCACATGTGCCGGCACATAGTAGGTGCACAGGCACCCTTTGCAGGGCACGCGTCCTTGAAGGGGCATCTCATTCCCTGTCACGGCTCTGACACCGCCTGCGCTGGGTGCCTCACACTGTTCATTTCTTGGCCTGTTTCACTCCCCAAACCAGCACCCCATCAGCTCCTGGGAGAGCCATGCACAGTGTGATGCCACAAAGCCAGTCCTCCACATTGCTAATTATCCTTTGTTTTTTGTTTTGTTTTGTTTTGTTTTGAGTTGGAGTCTCACTCTGTCGCCCAGGCTGGAGTTCAGGAGTGCAGTGGCCGCTCTGGCCACCGCAGCCTCGCCTGCTGGGCTCTGGCGATCCTTCCGCCTCAGCCTTCCAAGTAGCTGGAACTACAGGCGCACGCTACCACGCCTAACGGCTAATCTTTTTTTTTATTTATTTATTGTAGCGATGAGGTCTCGCCAAGTTGCCCAGGCGGGTCTCGAACCCGTGGGCTCAGGCAATCCACTCACCTCGGCCTCCCAAAGGCGCGGGATTACAGGCTGAGCCACCGAGCCTGGCTAATTATCCTTTGTGATGCCTCAGCCCCAGCCCTTGACTTGGCTAAACCGGGGAGGGAACGCCATGCTTGTGGCCGAGGAATTTTGTTTCTTTTGGCCAAGGAACTCTCGAGTCTAAACACATCTTTTGCATCACCTCAGTGCAGAAACAGAAGAAATCTGGACCGCTGGATTTGAGGCATTTGGAACCCCAGGACCCTGGGGAAGCCAGTTGGAAAACCACCACATTAGGGTCTGCTGGCTCCTTCCTGAACTGCTATCCCACCCCAGCCCCCCAAGGAGAGGAGGCTGAGGGGCCCCAGGAGAATTGGGTAAAGTTTCTGCCCGGCCCTCGGTTGTTCTCTGGGTCACAGGGCAGAGGCCTGGTGACGTCAAGACAGTGCTTGGGGGATCACGGTTCAAAGTTCAGGATAAGCCAGGCTCGGTGGCTCAGCCTGTAATCCCAGCGCTTTGGGAGCTGAGGTGAGTGGATAGACTGAGCCCGCGGGTTCGAGACCCACCTGGGCAACTTGGCGAGACTTCATCTCTACAATAAATCAAAAAATTAGCCGGGTGTGGTAGCGCACGCCTGTAGTTCCAGCTACGCGGAAGGCTGAGCAGAAGGATCGCCAGAGCCCAGCAGGTCGAGGCTGCGGTGGCCGGGAGCGTGCCACTGCACTCCAGTCTGGGCGACGGAGTGAGGCTCCGACTCAAAAAAAAAGTTCAGGATAAAGTTGAAATCGCCCTCAAGTCCAGCTTTTAGAAGAGTGAATCCCACAGCCCAGGCAGGGTAGCCTCACCTCCTCAGAGGCCTCCTGACCCCCGGTCTGAGGGCACTTAATGTGACCTGAGGGCATCTGGTTTATTTTTTTTGACCCCCTCTCTCCTCTTAGGGAGGCTGCTAGGTGGCAGGGCTTTGGGGGGGGTTAGAGGGTTGAGCAGAGGGGCCACAGCCAGAGCCCCAGCAGGAGTGAGGATGGTCTCTGACTCCCAGCATTGTCATGCGATACCTACCAGCCAGTGCCCTGTAAGCTGTAAGGGGCCACAGAGGCTTGTGGAAAGCACCCTTGACACAGCAGCTCCAACTTAGAAAAAGACCCTGTCTTACATTTCAAAAGACATTGGGCCCATGGGGCCCAGGCATCCCCCTAATCAATGGAGATTGCACCTTGCCGGGCAAGGGCATAACTAGGCACACTCTTCTGCCATCAGTCCTCGCCGGAGGACCCTGCAGCTGTAAGAGGAGAGGCCTTCATCTGCATGAGACGGCCGTCCCACAGACACCCCACGTGCTCCTGTGATCAGCAACCAGCGTCCATCCGCCAAAGGCTCTGCCTTGTGAGATCAAGCCAGGACGCCCTCCCGTCCACAGCACTCTCCTGGGACTGTCTGTCAACTGTTTCCTATGTTTCCTCTCTCTTTTTCTTTGAATTAGAGTCTCACTTTGTCACCCAGGCTAGAGGGCAGTGGCACGCTCACAGCCACCGCAGCCTTGACCTGCTGGGCTCAGGCGATCCCTCAGCCTCAGCCTTCCAAGTAACTGGAACCACAGGCGCACTCTACCACACTGGCTAATTTTTTAATTTATTGTACAGATGAGGGCTTGCCAAGTTGCTCAGGCTGGTCTCGAACCCCTGAACTCAGGCCACTCTCTCTCCTGGGCCTCCCAAAGTGCTGGGATGACAGGTGTGAGCCACCACACCCGGCCATCTCCCATTTTTAAGATGCGGAATGTTTAATCTGTAACTTTTTTTTTTTTGAGTTGGAGTCTCACTCCTTCACCCAGGTTGGAGTGCAGTGGCACGCACGCTCATGGCCACCCCAGCGTCAACCTGCTGGGCTCCAGCGATCCTTCCGCCTCAGCCTTTCAAATAGCCAGAACTACAGGTGCGTGCTACCATGCCCGGCTTTTTAAAAAATTTTATTGTAGAGACGAGGTCTGGCCAAGTTGTCCAGGCTGGTCTCGAACCCACGGGCTCAGGCAATCCACTGGCCTGGGCCTCCCAAAGTGTTGGGATTACAGGCTGAGTCACCGAGCCCGGCCAATCTGTAACATTTATATGATCAAGTAAATTGCTATGCATGATTTGCAGTGGGACTGACTGGTGGAGCAGCTGGGCCCGTGTGCCCGCAGCTCTGTCCCAAAGGACTGGGTGCCTCCCCAGGGACTCCATGTAACCCACGGCCCTTGGACGGAAATGCCATCAGCGGAAGTCTGACCTTTCGGAAAGACACATGCGTGCGTGGCCCTGGTTGTGTCCGACTCGCCCCGCTCACGACAGAGCCCCAAGCAGGTGACGGGAGCAGCCAAGCCCCCCGCGCCACCCTGAGTGCCCGCTGGCCTGGCCGACCCAACTGCCTCCGTGTGGCACTGGGGGGGGTTAAGGCTGTTCCCGGAGTGAGCCGGCCGCTACCTCCTTACCATGTTTGGGAAAAAGGCCTCAGCCTTGAGGGACCCCCTGACGTTCTTGTTCCCCACCAGCCTGAAGAGCTGTGGGATGTCGATGATGTCACGCTCGGCCAGGCCCAGCTCCCGCTTCAGCACCTCGCGGTTCCAGTCGATGCAGCTCTGGGGGGGAGGGGAGGG